GCTATGAGGACCCATGATCTGTTGTTATGCCCCTTCCCAGTGAACCATATACTGTGCTTTTGCATTTATTACTTGCGGTTCCTAGGTTTCCACAGATGCTAAAGCATGCATATCTTTTCCCATCAATATACCCTATACTGCTTTTACAGCTTGCAAAAATTCTCTGTCAGAGAAGTCTTGTTGGCTAGATTTCTAAAAACGCCATATTATATCCAATTTGTGAATTGCTACATGCACAAGTACTCTTTTTTATTTTCTTTTCAGTGTCTTCTAAGGAAATGCCTTACCATTTTCGTTGATGTACGCTTTGATTCTTGCATATCGTGTATAAAGAATATCACTCTTTGAAAAATGTACTAGTGAAATACAGGCTTTATTTGTTGCTGTAAAAAATATCCATTTCTATTGGTTAGATAGGTACCATTTCCAGATCAGAGATAAAAAAACATTATGCACACAGATTTGGTGTATGGTAAACCAGCCCAAATGCATAAAAAGAGGAAATCAACAAGAAAAACATAAAGTTGCACATAAAGGCAAATTAAGGTAGCATAAAGAAACAATAAAAAAAACACATTTCCCAGTTATTAATTATTGAGGATATAATGCACAGCTTGGATGACCATTTGGAAACTCGCACTGCCCGAGGGCCCGGGGTATAAATAGATGTGGTACCTTTTTCAAAGGCAGTTTGGGCAATGATCCCCTATTGAATGAGTTGTAACCCTGCACAGCTTGGATTAAGCTGTATAAATAGGTGACAGGGTCATACAGCAGGGTCCAAGGAATCCATTTTTTGGGTCAATAATGTGAAAAAACCTTTTACTGCACTCAAAGGGGTGTATTTATTCAAAAAAAAATATGCCACCTAGATGAAGCTAAAGGCCATAGGAAATAAGAATTTATTTTCTATTATCCTCAGCTACAGTATATTCGGTTGCCCAATGTAGTATGTTTGCAATTCACTCTATTTTATTTATGAATGAATAACATTTGACCTCTGGAAGATATAGAAGTAGAACATTTTTCCCCTTTCATACCAGCAACGTAGCTCAATGAATAACTATGCAATTATTATTTTTTTTTATAAATACATCCCATAGTGTGGTAGTGGTTATTGTTATGCACCTCCAAAAAGTTTTACAGATTTCAAAAACACTTTATTTGTGTTCTATTTTTCTAAAAAGTAAATATACGGGCAAACAAATCTATTCTGGGGGAGCTCGGTTTCATTAGTAGCTTGTGCCTTAGAAGTGTGTTTGAAGCTGTTTCATCTAGCTTTAAATAGTTTGTTTGGACCAAGCTGGTCTAGAAAAACTATTTACTTCTGTAATTGTTGCAATGGCTGGGAGTACTGTATAAACTGTATGTAACCCCAGCTACATACAGTATACAGCTCTGAGTTCCGGCAGCAGGACATCGGGCTGAGCACTGCTTAACCATTCAGAGGAAGCTTTGTATTATTTAAATGCTTGGAAAACTTCCTTTGATTGGCTGAGGTAGAAAGGCAGGCTGATTGCATCCACCTCAGCCAATCAGAGGAACCTTCATTCATAGAATACAAAGCACATTGTGAAAGGGTAAGGAGAACTCGGCCAGACTCGATTTTGTTCTGAGAATGAACAGGAAGGTCTAGCCTTGCTGCTAGACAGAACGCTGTTTACCTGTCTATCCAGGTGCTGCAACTATTATGATGTAAATTGTTCTTTTGAACCAGCGTGGTCCAAATAAACTATTTAAAGTTAAATGAAACCCGAATATCAGCTTTAACCTCCCTGGCGGTATTCCCGGGTGTAGCTCGGGGGTAAAATGTCAGTACCAAGAGCGGTAACCCCGAGCTACACTCGGGCTTACCATGCGGCGATGCTCAGGGAGTCCCTGCAGAGCTTACCTTGTCCTTCGCTCCCACGATGTGCCCCTTGCAGCGTCCCCGGCCATCTCCTCCGGCCGATGCCGGCATCCGGCTTCTGTGTTCCGGTCCCTGTGACGTCGGGACGTACGGGCGCCGGCGGCGGCGGGAATTTTGAAAATTTTAAAAAATTTCATTTTTTTCAAACAAATTTTTCATAGTAAAACATTGCTGTTTTCAACCCATTTCACATATATTTTGTCCCTACTGCTTTGTCCTGGGCCCTGCCTGCATTTTGTCTGTTCTTTCTGCCTGGAAACTTAGAAAAGTCCATGGCGTCCAAAAAGCGTCCCAATTTAGGTCAAAAGCGGTTTTAGATCAGCTAGAGAACAGCGATAGTAAATCAGAACCACTTGCAGAATTGAGTGATAATGATTCGTGGGGGAAATTCATCATCAGACACTGAAAACGATTCTGCGACTTTGCTCAGCGATGTGCGAACTTGGCGCTCTATTTCAAATTTCAGTGTTTTCGGTTTGATTATATTATTGAATTAAATGTATAATTATTATATTATTTTCTATGATTATTTATTAAATTATAATTTATGATTTCGTGTTTCAAATTTTATCCTACCCGGGATGTTTACTAGACTCTTGTTCGGACAGAGTTCAGTGAGTTATTCCTAAAAATTACAGCCTACAATAAAAAAAACTACATATTTCCATGCAAAATAAATTATACCGCTTTCAGCACCAAAAATCTGAAATAATCATACCGCTGAGGAGGTTAATTTGTATTACTCAGAGACAGTTGTGTTTGTTCTACTCAGTTTAAAAGTCTTACTCTTCTCTTTTACTTTTGCTTTGTTTCCTAAGATGTTACACAATGTTTATCACACTGAAATTAAATGAATTTAGCTTTATTTTCATATCAACTACAATGCAGGACTAATAAGACCAGGGGCGGACTGACCATTTGGAAACTGGGGCACTGTCCGAGGGCCCGGGGTCAGTAGGGGACCCCATGAGATGCCCCTGGTACTGTCAGGGCAGGAGCTGTGGAACGGACAGGCAGGCCTAATGGCAGGGTCACGCACCGACTGACGACAACCACCACCCACAGACTGGAGTCCCTCAGGGCGCGGAGTCTAAGCCCCAGGCTGCCCTTCACCAGGGCCCCTGACGGTGGGGATGGACTTGATGCAGCCAGGGACCAGGTCGCGGCCCCCGAGACACCCTAGCTGTGGTAATAGCTGCCGCCAATGGCGTGTAGCTGGTAGGAACCAGATAAGACAATAGCGTAGTCGTGCAGGCCGGGTCGATAACAGCGGGACAGACAGTACAGAACGGTAGACAAGAATAACAGGTCACAAGCCGGGTTCAGCAGCGGGAGGTCAGATAAATGGATAATGCAGAGAATAGTCTAGTCAAAAGTCAGTTTCCAGGAGAGCCACGAGAGTAGAAACAGAGCTTGTTGCAACACGAACATACAAGGCACGAATGCAAAGAGCACGTGCGGACAACAGGCTTATATGTGATCAACCACACCCCTCTGGGGGATGGACCGCAGATGCCTGAAGGCATAAAGACGCCCACCATGCTCTGCAGAAACCCAAGATGGATGCCAGCACATGGAGCAGCATAAACTCTGGGAAAGGGTAAGACCTTGACAGGTACCTTTTTCATAGGCTTTTTTGACTTTGGGCAAGGACACAGGGGTCCCATGATCCCCTATTGCCCAGGGGCCCCATGAGTTGTCAGTCCACCCCTGATTAAGATGCTGAGGGTCCATCCACTACCCAGAGATCCAGAGGAGAGAGAAGAATACTGGGGGCCGGAGAGGAATAGAATGTATTACAGCCTTTTCCCCTAAATTCTAGACTTACCAAGCACATAGCCCTTGAGATGTCGGAATAACGCACTACAAGGATAATGTTTTAACCCAGAGTTCACAACAACTGCCTGTATTCCTAACTCCCCTTCCCATCTTTGATTTATATAAAAAAAATGGTACAGCTACTAATTTCTTCTGTCCAATTTATTTGCAACTTGAATTTTATTTAGTAAGAAGAATCAAGAAGAGGCGCTGAATACAGCAAAGTGCTGCCTTAGTAGTAACTTCAGTATGGATGGTTTGATGGTGCTTGTTTTGTAACTATTCTTGCAGTTCCCATGTTTGCATGCATTACTGCACTGCTGGACTGTGGCCGTTCTTCTTCTTCCCCATAGAAGTCCTCAAATATGGGGCTAATAAGTTCAAATGACAAAAAGACAATGTCCATCACCATAATTAATCTATGCACATCCACTACTTAATGGCCCTGTAATCTACTTTTCATGAAATTGTTTATTACTGTGTTTTTCTGTCTTATTGTAATATCCTTAATGAGCTTCTGCACCTCTCCTTTTCTCCCTCACTTCCATTTGGAGTGAGCACTACATGATAGTTGTGGTCATGTGCACTGCTCTATGCACACTACAAATCCCATAGTCTATAGCCCATCTCAGGAGTGATCAAGAGGTTACCATATTCTTATTTACAATAGGACCATGGAGAATGAAAGTAGCCACCCTCCAACAGGAAATTAGATCACAGCAGCCAAAAGGAATTGGGACATTTGGAGGAGGCTGAAAGCGAAAGTTAAGTATAAATATTAAATAGAATTTTTTAAACCAGAGTTTAGTGTCACATTAAGAGATCTGCAGTTATTCCTAAACATTGGTTTCAAAATTTAAATACTTTTATTGACTGGCATGGTACCAGTGGTTGGACATAAAGTATATATGGTACCCAAATGAAAAATAAATGAATGCAACTGTTAAAAAAAAAAAAAAAAATAATATTACAATCTTTTAGCTACAAACCTGTAGATTTAATTTGTGCCGGAAAGACATTTTAGTGGCCATCAGCATTGATTCAAGAAAGACAGATGTTGTCAAGCAAATGCACAATTTTGATATGAGGAAGGGAGCAAAAACTCAGACCAAAAGGTGTATGACCATTTGATGCAGTTCCTCACAGCCACCTGAAGTGTAAATTAAAGTCTGCTGGTTTAACCACTTGCCGTCCGCCTGCTGTTTATAAACAGGCAGGGCGGTGGCACTCCAGGGGTTCGTTGCCTGTTAAAAACGGCACCCGCTATTTCTAGTTGTGCGCGCTCCCTGGGAGCGTGCAGCACCGCGATCTGGTGCCCGCTGTATCCTCCGGACACAGCGAAAACACAGATCGTTGGACGGGACCTCTGTACGATGTCCCGATCATGTGATCACTGATTGACCAATCAGTGATCACATGCAAAGTAGTAAGCAAGATATCACTTGTGACATCATTGCTTACTACATGTGAAATCTGTGAATGATCACAGAGGTCACATGGTACAAGGCTATTCACAACAGCCTTGTACCATGTGACAAGCTGTGACCAATCACAGCTCACTCAGTAGTTCTCAATGGCTGCAAAAATGCAGATAGAGAGAAAGAGAAATGATTGCTTTTATATCCTATATGGGTGTAAATGCAATCACTGTAAAAAAAAAAAAAAAAATCTTCATCACCACCCACAAAGTAGTACAGTGTCACCATGGTGACACTGTACTGCCAGGGTGCCAGTATGAAAAAAAACCCCAAAAACACATAAATAATAATATAAAAAAATAAAATAAAAATGTAAAAAAAAAATGTTTAAAAATTATAATTTTTGGTTATAAACTACTCTTTTTTTTTTTTTTTACTAAAAAGATAACGGAATAAATTTTGGCCAAGATTTATGATGAAATATTATTTATTTGCAAAATTTTATAAGAAAAAACACTTTTTTTTTCAAAATTTTTGGACTTTTTCATTTACATAGCAAAAAGAAACAAAAATCCCAGCGGTGAATAAATACCACCAAAAAAAGCTTTATCTGTCTCAAAAAAATGGTAAAAATTAATATGGGTACAGCGTTGCATGACCGCGCGATTGTCATTCAAAGTTTGATAGCGCTGAGAGCTGCAAAATTGCCCTGGTCTGGAAGGGGGTAAAAGTGTCCGGACTGGAAGAGGTTAAGAATACAATACAGGTGCGCTCCCATAACCATAATGAGGGGGGGGTTCCCTCAGGTTCACCTGCCCTTGTTTCTATCCATTTAAATGCATGTGCCTCCATTGTGAGGACTCTCAAGATTTATAGAGTTAGGACCACAGATACTCAGGGTGCCGTGACGTGGCTCTGTGGCTTACGTATGTATTTGCAAATGTGTGCTAACTAAACCCCTGTTTTTAAACGCATGTTTTTAGACAGGTAATTTGGTTTTTGATAGTTGGCTAACTGGCTGGCAGATTGAACTGGCTTTTCTTATCCCCCTCTGTTGATAAGTTATACCTATCCATGTTCCTTGCTGACAATGGCCATTATTAGACTGGGGTAGGCTGGCAAGTTGAACTGGATAGCCCTACTTTTTACTTTTTCACGTAGTGACGCCTTCCATGTTCACTGTTTAAAAAGCCAGTTATAGACCTGGGTAGGTGACCAGTTTTTTGTATAAGAATACAATAAGCAAGCAGCTTAAAGGGCCAGTGCATTAAAACCTAAAGTTTACACTTTTGGTAAATGCTGGAGAGTTAAATCACCTGGCAATTTCCTACATCTTTTGGGAAACGATTGGTGAATTATGTGCACTTGTGTCCATTGGTCTGCACACCTGGAGTGGCCATTATGAGCATATCCTAATGTCCTTGTATTTTTCCTTCAAACAGAAACGTTATTTGATGATTCATACTTTTGCTAGTGTAATGGGCTATAATGAGTTTACCCCAGGGTTTAGTCTTCTTAAAGTTTAAATTGAATAGAGACAAATCAAAACACCATTTTGTTTGAAGATAGCACAAAGCTTTTACATATAGTATAAATGTTCCCCCAATCTGTGATTTGGTAAAAACTTGCCAGATAAAGACATGCCTGGAAACACTTTTAGAACCTTACACTTCAGAATGGCACGTACTGTCAACTGTTAACTTTAAAAGGTTGGTAAAATACGTTGTTGCTTTAAAAAAGGCTTAAAACTTCTTACTACTTCAGCAAAAGCATAGAGGAAAGGGTCATATATACAGTGGATATTAAAAGTCTACACACCCCTGTTAAAATGTCAGTTTCTGTGATGTAAAGAAATTAGACAAAGATAAATAATTTCAGAACGTTTTCCACATTTAATGTGACCTATAAACTGTACAACTCAAATGAAAAACAAACTGAAATCTTTTAGGGGGGAAGTACATATAAAAAAATAAAATAATGTGGTTGCATAAGTGTGTAACTGGGGATGTAGCTGTTTCAGAATTAAGCATTCACATTCAAAATCATGTTAAATAGGAGTCAGTACACACCTGCCATCTGAATAACCCCAAATATAGGTCAGCTGTTCTAGTAGGTCTTTCCTGACATTTTCTTAGTCGCATCCTACAGTAAAAGCCATGGTCTGCAGAGAGCTTCCAAAGCATCAGAGGGATCTCATTGTTAAAAGGAATCAGGAGAAGTTTACAAAAGAATTTCCAAGGCATTAGATATACCATGAAACACAATGAAGACAGTCATCATCACGTGAGAAAATATGGCGGAACAGTTACATTACCAAGAATTGGACGTCCCTCCAAAATTGATGAAAAGATGAGAAGAAAAACTGGTCTGGGAGGCTGTCAAGAGGCCTACAGCAACATTAAAGGAGCTGCAATATCTGGCAAGTATTGTCTGTGTGGTACATGTGACAACAATCTCCCGTATTCTTCATATGTCTGGGCTATGGGGTAAAGTGGCAAGATGGAAGCCTTTTCTTATGAAGAAAAACATCCAAGCCCGGATAAGTTTTGCAAAAACAGATCTGAAGTCTCCGAAAAGCATGTGGGAAAATGTGTTATGGTCTGATGAAACCAAGGTTGAACTTTTTGGCCAAAGATATGTTTGGCGCAAAAACAACACTGCACATCACCAAAAGAACACCATACCCACGGTGAAGCATGGTGGTGGCAGCATCATGCTTTGGGGCTGTTTTTCTTCAGCTGGAACTGGTGCATTAGTCAAGGTAGAGGGAATGGTGAACAGTTCCAAATACCAGTCAATATTGGCACAAAACCTTCAGGCTTCTGCTAGAAAGCTGAACATGAAGAGGAACTTCATCTTTCAGTATGACAACAACCCTTACATCCAAATCAACCAAGGAATAGCTTCACCAGAAGAAGATTAAAGTTTTGGAATGGCCCAGCCAGAGCCCAGACCTGAATCCGATTGAAAATCTGTGGGTAGAACTGAAGAGGACAGTGCACAGGCGATACTCTCGCAATATGACAGATTTGCAGTGTTTTTGCAAGGAAGAGTGGGCAAATATTGGCAAGTCAAGATGTGCCATACTGATAGACTCATACCCAACAAGACTGAGTGCTGGAATCAAATCAAAAAATGCTTCAACAAAGTTTTAGTTTAAGGGTGTGCAGACTTATGCATCCATATTATTTTAGTTTTTTTATTTTTACTTCCCTCCACCTAAAAGTTTTCAGTTTGTTGTTCAACTGAGTTGTGCAGTTTAAAGGTGGAAAACGTTCTGAAATTATTTATCTTTGTCTCATTTTTTTACATCACAGAAACCTGACATTTTAACAGGGGTGTGTAGACTGTGTATATCCACGGCACGTATATGTATAGAAAAAAATTAAATAGAAATAGGTGTCATCTCTGGCAATAAAACAGTTTTTTAAAGCAACCCTGTCACACAATTAAAACGTTTTAAGCAAACATGAACCTGTAACACATGAACAAAATACTTCCTTCTCCACTGAACATCACTCCAATCCTGAGAAATGGTCCCTGAACCCCACATGGAAATAAATACTTACCACCATGTCAATCTCCCTGGTTCTCCTGCTATACTCACACAAGTAGTGGTTCCCTAGAGGACTTCGGGGGGCCATTTCTCAGGGTTAGATTGCAGGAGTGTTCAGCAGCTCAGTCAACAGGAGGGGTAAGTATTCTGTTTCTTCTTTCCAGGAACAAGCTTGTTTGGGAGTTTTTAATTATGGACAGGATTGCTTTAATGTATACAGGAGCATACATATGCATAATGTGGCCCCATGGCAAATGCTAGATGTAGCCTGCTGGCCATCACTTTTGCTTCTCAGCATCCTTTTCAGTTTCTAGCTATAGAGATACACTGTTTTCTTTTTATTTTATGGTCTTAGAAAAACTTTTTGGTATACCAAGTTAATTTTATTGTGCTCATTAGTAGGGGCACCAGAAGTTCTGAAGACAAGTGATCTATTTTTAGATAGGGAGGAGGACCAGACCAGGGGCGGACTGTCAACTCATGGGGCCCCCGGGCAATAGGGGATCATGGGGCCCCTGTGTCCTTGCCCAAAGTCAAAAAAGCCTATGAAAAAGGTACCAGGGGCATCTCATGGGGCCCCCTACTGACCCCGGGCCCTAAGGCAGTGCCCGAGTTTCCAAATAGTCAGTCCGCCTCTAGTCCCCAACATAGCTGCTGGAATTTCAGCAGTAGGACATCTCTTGTGGCAAAGGCAGATCTGTGAAAGTGGCGACAGCTCTGCTCACATATATAAAAATAAGGACTCTGAATCCTGTGGCTACCTAGCATGAGCTTATACAAAGATTTTACATTTACAGTTTACAAACCCTGTTCTTTCTTTTTATATTAAACTTCCGTCTTTGTGATTACTAATGAAAATAACATGTTACAAGTTTCTGACAAATTTTTTAGGCCTCTGGCAAGTTTCTCCTGATGTGAATTTCTGAAGTCTAATGTGTAGTCCAAATGAATACCTGTCATTTCTTCAAGCTTTTTGTTTTCGATACATATCCTCCTCTTGCCACATCTTTAACCAATACCATACTGTGACCTATTTTGGGGTCAATCATTTTGATTTACTATCACTATGTCAGTGAAAATTAGTTTTCCTTTTTTGTGTGAAATATGTACTCATAAGATAAATGGTACATTTGGTACAAATAATAACATATAGTCAAAAAAGCCTATGAAAAGGTACCAGGGGCATCTCATGGGGCCCCCTACTGACTCCGGGCCCTCGGGCAGTGCTGAGTTTCCAAATGGTCAGTCCGCCTCTGGACCAGACTGTACTGCTAGGACACTCGGCAATAATTACTAAATTCTGCATGCTGCACAGAGACAGAGAGGGGGCTGTGACAATCCTAAATACCCCCCCTGTGTGTCTACCATCAGCTTTTCTAGACTGTAGACTTCACAGAGCATTAGTGTCAGTATCAACTTCAACCTCTACAACTCCTCAAAATACAGTACTAGATCTGTGTTTTCTATACATGCACACAGATTTTCCACATTTCATTTTCTCCTACTGGAGCCCCAACATCAACCCTCAACAGCAGTG